ATTTACATGTTTAAAAAAATTTTTAAAAAACTTCATTTACATAAAAGTAGCTCTAGAAAAGTTTAATGCCATTGTTACTTCTGGGACTGAAACTGAATAAAAGGAAGATTGAATTTTATGGATTTTTGTCTTAATTTTCTAGTAGTGATGAAAATTCTTTTTTTGAAGATTTAATTAATACATATTTTATTCTTAACAGCTTAAGTTAAAACCTCTTGCTTACAGTTACAATATGCTAAGATTTAAACTTTAACATTTTTTTTAATAATAAAAAGAAAAATTGAACACAAATAATAATTAAACTAAGAAAATTTAGAAAACATTTTATTAAAGTTATAACTTGTTTATCCAAGATACTGTTAGTTATTACTATAATAATTAACTCAAAAATGTTCATATGTTTTTTCATTACATTATGTTGAATCTACAATCAAAAGGACCTGCTAAAATACACACTTTTAATCAATAACATTTTTATTTTGTCAAACAAATTTTTATGGTTAAAATAAAACAAAATAAAGATATTTGTTGATCTTGATCAGAAATATTAGCAACACTCAGATAGCGATAATACTTTGTAAAAAGAAAAACGCCCTTGTTTAAAATTAATATTAAAGCGTAATACAGTACTTTTAATTGTGGTTGTTAGTTACTTATTGATCGGAAATAAATTATTGATTGTTTTAATAAACATTCCTTTTAGCAAAAGTGTACTATTTTGCTTTGTTACTAACTTCTGGAACCTAACCATGTTTTGCATTAATCCTTAGTTCAGGTTGCATTTGTTCAATCAAGAACTGCGTATTTTTTTTTTTTTTTAGAATTTGTGTTTGAATACCAAATTGTTTGAGTTGGAACAGTTCAAGATACCATCATATTTCATTTGTCTTTTTTATAAATGATTACTTTCCTACTGTTAAAAAAAGTTTAATAACACTTGCCTTAAAATGTTTAAATAAACTTTAGTAAAAACAAAAATTAAGCTATAAAAACAACAGTGACAGTCTTAAAGGCTAGTCTGAAAAAACAATAATGTCCTGTGGTTGATAGGAAAGTTAGTGCTTTTTTTTCCTTTCTTGTTCCATCAGTTTTCATTAAACCCAACACAAAACAAATTTAAAGTTTTAATATTCTAAAACCTATGGACAAATTTTAGATAACATGAATGCTTACTTGAATAAAAAAAATTTATCAAATAAAGATGTTTGCACTTTAAAGTTGTGAATCTTTGTACGGGGGATTTTCCCAAATTCTTGAACCATGTTAAGAGTGAAACCAGAAACATGTAGTACAGGGGGACATCTCCAATTTTCAAACTGTTAGAGCAAAACTATGTTGTAGAAGTGCTGTGTTGTATGAAGGATACTGTATCTAATTATTAAAAATGACTGACTGCCAATAAAACTACTATAATTATAATCTGGTAATTTTTGATATTTTCAAATATACTTTCAGTTAAAGCATTAAATTACTGCGTTTTAATTGAATACGGTGTTTGTTTCATTCAATGCAAATAAAAATCAAATTAATGCAAATTAAGCATACTTGTGTTAAATTAAAAATGCATTTATATATAGAAAATTATTTACTTGATAAATTATTTTCCAGTATATTTTTTTCATACCTGGCCACTGTTTTAAAATTGTATTACATTTTTATTCAGAATAAAATTTTAAATAGCAGAAATTATATTACTTAAAATATACTGTTTGTTTTGTTGAAACTTGTGTGGTTTTTTTAGTTTAATTTTTAATTGATAAGAATAAAATTAGTAAGTTTTCAAAGACCATTGACATGAATATCTATTTATTACAGCAAATATAGATGTAATAATGATGATTGTTAACAATAAAATATCTATTTTATTTATAGATCATTATAGTATTTAGTTATAGAAACTTGTAGGAACTTTAAATAAAAATTAGTACATTAATGTGTTCACTGTAACATTAATTGTAGCATTATTGTAATTTAATCATAAAATATCAATAATGAGCATAAGGCAAGTTTCATTATCAAATGACTATCTTGCTTCGCTTTAAAATATGCATAATACCGTCTTTCCCCAAAAATAAGACAGTGTCTTATATTAATTTTTGCTGTGAAAAATGTGCTAGGTCTTATTTTCAGGGAATGTCTTATTTTTTCCAGGAAGAAAAATTCACATTTATTATTGAACAAAAAAATTCCCAAGTCACTTAGACGAGAGTGATGTATATCTGGTGTGTCGAGCTGTCACCTTTTTTATAGTGTCAACATCGGACTTGATGACCAATTAGTGCTTACTAAACCGTAGCACTATGCAAATGTCATGTAGTGTGATTCCCAGCCAACCAATTAGTTATCACCAGCCGTAACGTTATGCAAATCTGTGATTCCCAAGCCATAGTCTTATGCAAATCATGCCGTGTGGCGTAATTGTCTGCTGACCAATCAGTGGCTGTACTTTCAAAAAGCCAACTGCCACTTTCAACCATTTGTCGATGACCGTTACAACTAAAAAGAACTTTGCTAGGTCTTACTTTCAGGGGGAGGTCTTATATTTCGCAATTCAGCAAAATCTGTGCTAGGTCTTATTTTCTGCGGATGTCTTATTTTCGGGGAAACACGGTAATACATTGCATAATTTATTGAGTTTCAACTTTTTTACTAATTACATATGATCTATGTATAATAAATTTAAATTGTTTCTACCCTATGGGTACTAAGAGGGCCTCTATTTTTTAGCAAGCCTATTATGCATTTGGCAGTCCCACAATGTGGTGGCCAGGCAGTGAGAGACAAGGTCTGACATATCTGGACTGACGACCCCTGAAAAATTATTAGTGTTTTTCAACCCTTAGATTCTATCTTGAGTCCCTCCAGAGTGGTAGACTGCCATCTTAACTTCTCGGCTATCCAGCCATCACTTAGTCAGTAATGGTTTAAGTCAGGTGTATCCAACCTTTTTGTTTCTCTGGGCCGCAATGGAAGAAGCGAAGGCGTTTTGGGCCACAAGTATATATAATATAGGCTATACTTGTGGCCCAGTATACAAGTATATTTAAGGATTAACATGTCTAGATTATAATAATAAGTATTAAAACTTTATCACGAAAATGGATATTTTAAAAAATTACTTCTACAGACACTTTCAATTTTTATGTAGAAATAGATCATCATCATCAACCATTATCAATCCACTGCAAAATGAAGGTCTCTCCAAGCCTCTTCCACAATCTTTTGTTTTCAGCACTTCACTTCCATGTTGTGCCAAGATGCCTCTTGATCTCATCAACCCACCGAGGGTGAGGACGTTGTCTTGGTCATTTTCGATCTCTTGGTATCGAATCAAGAACTTCAGAGGTGCAGCGATGGTCAGTTCTTCTTGCAATATGTCCAGTCCACTGCCACTTGAGGGATTTTACTCTAGCGATGATATCAGTAACTCCTGTCATTTTCCTGATTCATGTTATATGTTTCTGATCGCTCCTTGTTATGCCAAGCATACACCTTTCCATGTTCCTTTTGGGTAGTCTGTAGTCTTTGGATCTCTGATTTTCTAAGAGTCCAAATTTCTGATCCATAAGTGAGAACTGGCAGGACACACTGATCTGAAACCTTGCGTTTCAGGCACAGGGGCATCTGTTGATTTCTCAAGACTATACTATTCCTACCAAAAGCATTCCAGCCAAGTTTTACACATCTGTTTATTTCCTCCTTGATGTTGCCATCCATTGATATTCTTTGTCCCAGGTAAATGTAAGCATCTACCTTTTCCAATTCCATGTTATCTACTAGTAGTGTTTTTTCACATATGAAACTGTTGTACATAATTTTCATCTTGTTCAAGTTCATCTTTAAACCAACTTCTTTACTTTTGTTTGCAAGTTCTTGAATGTTCTGGAGCTCTGAAGTTCATGTCCTGGAGCTCTGAAGGGCTATCTATAATGATGGTTACGTCGTCAGCAAATTGAAGATGGGTCAGATGGTCTCCATTTGGGGCAAGGGGCATGAAGGGGCAAACGCAAAAGTTTGCTTGCTTCAAGATACCAACGATATTAAAAGGTGATACTATCTCCCCAAAACTTTTTTACAAATGTATTAAAGTGTTTTTTTCAATCGATGAACTGGGAGAATAAAGGTGTACTGATAAATGGAGACTTAGAAATAGATAAATTCATTTATTATAAGAGACAAACAAAAATTTATTTGAAAAACACAAATATTTGTTTTATTTGAGTCTCTAATTAATAAAAAGCAAGGAAACACCATTTTAAAGTGCATTTTTATTCAACTAATATATTTATAAAAAGAATATGTAGCCACATTTGGCACAATGTAGCCAAATCTTGCAATGCTGGAAGAATACTAAATACAGCTGGAGTTGTGACTTAAAGGATTATAGACCCAAATGGGGGGGGAGAGAAAGGACAAAAGATAAAGAAGTGAGGAAAGTTGGAAAATTAAGGGTTAATATTTACATAACAGAAGATCTATTTAACCTTTCTCACTACTTTTTATCTTTTGTCCTTTCTCTCCTTTCCCCAAATTTGGGTCTATAATCCTTTGAGTCACAACTCCATCTTTATTTAGTAATCCTTCCTCATTCACATGTCTCCAAGTATTTGAAAATATTTTCTTTCCACTCAAAAATAAAATATGAATAAAGGTTTATGACTTTGTGAAACTTCTATTTTGAGTTTATGCCTTGAATTAAATAAATAAAGTTTTTTATTTTTCGGTTTTGTTTACACATTTATTGGGCCGCATTGGAACTTGCCTTGAGCCGCATGCGGGCCGTGGGTTGGACATCCCTGGTTTAAGTTAATCAATGAAATTTGAATGTAAATTTTTCAATTAATTTTAAAAACGAATACTTTTTTTTATATTTAAACATTTGTATATAAGAGTAAATAATAATCTAAAAACAATTTGAAATAATGTATTTAATATATTAACTTAATGGTGTTCTAAGAATGTAAATTTAAAATATATTCTAAATTTTCCAAATTTTACAGCATATAAATCACAGCGCAATGTAAGCAGCTGCAGCATAGACCAAGGACCAGGAGATGACAAAACTTGTTATTTCTCTATTGACAAAATTAGTGATAAGTGTTCCAAAAGCAGTTCTTATGGCTATCCTGCTCGTACACCATGTGTCCTTATTAAGTTGAATAGGGTTAGTCTTGTAAAAGCTTAAAAAAAAGCTTAAAAGCCATCTTCAATAAATTATTAATTATAAAATATAATTGTAATTAAATAATCCTTCAGCTAATAAATGAATGTTTTTTATAGATTTATAATTGGGTTCCAGAGCCATATCAAAATGCTTCAGACTTGCCATCTGGGATACCTGAAGATATAAAAATGATTTATTCACCAGATTATGTATGGATTTCTTGTGTAGGAGAGGTAACAGATGTCTATTATGAAATACATTATATGAATTAAATTGAATATAATCTTTAATTTTATTAGCATTGTTATAGTATTTTCATGTTTATGAAAATTATACCAAATTATAAATATTAATGCAATTTTTAACTTTTTAATATTTAAGATTTTTTAAAATTTTTAATAATTTAAAGCATGTAACTGATAAAACTTTATTTTTATGTAGAATGCAGCAGACAAAGATAACATTGGTGACGTTGAGTATCTACCTCAACAGGGTATTTCAGTAAAATTCTTCCCGTTCAAGAATCAAAAGGAATATCTTTCTCCATTTGTTTTTGTTCGCTTCAAGGATATAGCAAAAAATGTTTTAGTGAATATTGAATGTAAAGCTTGGGCTAAAAACATCAAATATGATAGAGGAGATCGTTTAGGAAGTGTACATTTTGAATTATTGGTGGATTAGAATTTATTATAAACAGTGTCATTCATCTGCTTAGTTGATTTGCCAGCTTCACCTTTGTCTTTTTTCTCTTGTTCTCGTATGGTCATTTTTTATATGGAGACAAAATAGCTTTAATTCGTCGTCTTCCATATTTAGATATTTCAAATTTGGATAATGTTTCTAATTTCCATAAATGTTTTCTGTTAAGTCTTTTAATCAGGACATATATTTAAAATCAAAATGATCAAATATATAATGTACAGATTATTTAGAGTAGCTTAAAATCAAACTAGCATGTTTAAGAATTATTATTTTTGTTGCTCAGATATAAACTGGAGTATTGTTCCAGTCTGTACTGGTATTTTATCACCAAAAAAGGTGCTGCATTTAATCATTTGCTCAGATAGAGCAGATGTGCGATAATCATCTGACCTTCAGTCACAAGAAACAATCCAGTCAAATATATTTAAAGAGGGTCAGATAATTCTAAGCACAATTTTTACAGGTGGGCATTCTTCCACAAAATAATGATCTGCCAGAAAAATAGTGTTCAGGATTAAATGTATTGTGAAATCAGTTCTGTATTATCAAAAAAGTTATTATTAAAGCCACAAAAATTGAAATCCAGATATATTCTGAAATATTTAGAAGTTGTTCCATTAGTGTTTTTGTGTAAAATTTCTGTGAAATAGCAAAATAATAGATTTTAATGGAAAAAATGAGAATTTCTATTAGTTATAGTCTGATCTGAAGAGATACAAAAGTGTTACTTTATCTGCAGGTTTGTAGCCAAATTGTCCCTGCCAATGTAAAGAGATGGCTATCCGTTTAGGGGCCATGTAATATATATATATAGAAATATATAAAATAAAAAAAATATATATATATAAATAAAAATATATATTATATATATAAAAATAAGACAAAAAAAGATTCCTTACTTTAGATAAAATAGAATGTAAAGATGTGGTTATTATAAATTTCTGTTAATCTTTGATGTTAAAGTTTTAGTTTTTAATGCCTTTCAGGCAAATATAATCAACTGTGCTTCCCCAGATGAATCAACAGTATTAGTCGGATTATAGGGACTTGGATAAAAATCAGCAGAGTACTTCACAAGACGTCTGCAATCTCCAAGCTTTTACAAAAAGGTGAAATTGGCCAGATCTATATATTTATCATAAATACCATTTTGATTTTCTTCCCTTTCTACTGTTAAGAAGCCTGGCAAACAATAGTCTAGAGGACAAACTATGCACAAAGTTAGGGCTAGATGGAAAGCTTTGTGTTCAAAGATCATCAGAATATTCATCAGATCTATGTTATATTACAAAGCTTTGCTATATAACAGTGCTGTTTCATGGCCAAAAGACATTAGTCCTCACCATGTGGGGAATAAGCACTGTTTAATAGTATATTGGACAATTGTTGGTTGTAGTGAGAGTATGAATAAAAAAGAAAATATGGAATGGATTACTTTCTTTTAAGATTTAATTTTCACAGTTACAAAAGTGAATTTTGATTGTTTATAAATTATTTTTACCTATAATAAATGTTTTATGAAATTTGACAAATCCATAAATAAAGTAATGTACTGTATGAGTTGTTAGGATGCATTTTCTATCACTAGGTAAGTGATTACATTAATTTTGTAATTTTCATGACTCTCTTCAAATTTTTGAATTTTAAACTATAAATATTTGTAATTACTCCATTTTAGTAATAACAATCAAATTAAATCATAAAGGATTACTGACTTTGCTTCTACGGATTTTGACTGTTAGATTTGGAAAATTAAATTATTTCAATCAATTAGTGTTAGAATAGTATTATTTTATATAATTCTGACATGTGGAAGTGTCCTTATAAATCAGTGTAATTGAAATCAAAATCATGAAAGTAAGACAGTGGTACAGAAAGATCGAATTGTTTCTTTTAAAAGTACTTTAATGAGTACAGTACATTGTCATGGTAATGGTATTTGAATTAGGACTTTATGAGAATGAGAACAAAATTGAATTTATAATAAAATAATTATTTAAATAGCTTTCTGCTGAATCTGGTTTTTATCATTGAAATATATTTTAAATTTCATAATGGAAACTATAACTTTAAAAAAACTAAATCTAAATAATCAGGTTAAAAATAAGGAAAAATTTGGAATAGTAACAGCTATTTCAATAATTTCACCTCTAATTAGCACAATTGCTGTATGACAAACAAAATTTATCATGAGACGTAGCACATTACGACAGTCTGCCTCCGAAAATTTTTGTAGGCGAATCGATTCAATTGTCGTTTAAATCAATTTTTGTGAAATATGTACAGTACTGTGCAGTAAGACTCACTGTCGTCTAGACTGGTGGTGCTCAAACTGGTCCGCAACGAGATTTCACTTTAAGAAATACAGTAATACCCCGAACTTACGCGATAGGTGGGCGCGTAAGTCGGGGTATAATTTCGCATATAAATACATACAAATAATTTTTAATTGGGGCCGGAGACTAAAGAAAACAATAATTTAGAAAAAAATGTTTATTAAAGTGTTAGATAATACATATGTATAACAAATTAGGCCTATATTATTTTACAATTTTTCACATTTACTCGATTATTAAGCCATAATTTTAACATTGTTTCCATTTCAGCGATAATACTGTGACGTTTACGAATGATGCTGGAATTTAAAGATTGAGCATTTTTTACAGCTTCGAGAATTTTTCTTTGCCTTTTATAATTGTTCTGACCGACAATTCCGGTGGATCAAACTTCTTTGCCAATTCACAAATTTTCATTTTTGTATCGAAGTCTTTAATAATGGGTACGTTCGTAAAGTCAAACGAGTTAAACGCGTTAGTAACGAATCGTTCGAAAAGTCTAACGAAATAGGAATAACGATGACGTCATTCTCGTTTAACTCGTTCGACTTTACGAACGTACCCAATGTTAACTTTACATTCCAAAGATAAAGTTTTTGTTTTCTTGTTTGATGCTGAAGAATTAATTCTACTTCGTTTGTGTCTCTCTCGAGTCTTCGTTTGTTCGTAGTGTCTCTCGAGTCTCCGTAGATATAACAAACACAGAAATAAATAACACAATAAATTGTAGCTATGTGTCGATTCCGCGCTACACATACGAATATGTAAGATGAACAATAGTGTGGGGGGAGTGAATAATCAAGGGTTGCGTGGCGCTCAAACAAAAGACGAATCGACGAGGTTTGAAAATCGCGTAACTCCGGGTTCGCGTAAGTCGGGGTATTACTGTAATTAAAATTATGAAACTTTAACAACCATTTTACAACTACTATTTTATTATTTAAACGGTCTTAGGGTTGGATTGCGATCGAAAACGGTCCACAAACATTTTTCATAGTGATTGGAACAGAGTTTTATTTTTTGTAATTATTTTAATTTTTAAATTGAATTGAAAAGAAATGCATTTGAATTCCATTTTATAATAATGATCAGTGGCGTAGCGTAGTGGGGTGGCAAAATTTCACAATAAATAATAATATCTTGTAAAAACTTGAACCATTTCATCACATATTTTCGTCGCATTTACGATTCCGGACCGATTGAAATGAGCACGAAAAGTGTCGTCATCCGGATAGTCCGGGATTTCGTACACAACCTGTTGACCCTTTTTTTTTGTACGAATCATTCGTATTCATATACACCTCCAATGTCCAATACAGCTAAGTCATCTAGATTGCTTACGTTACTCCTACCCAATTCTCCGTAATCGCTAACTGAACCGGCATGCACTGCATGTTATTCTTCACATTGCAAAATGACATACGCATGCGTCAGGAACTTCTGTTCGAACAAACCTCACCTGCCGTCCGGGTCGGCGATTTTAAAAAGGTGGCAACACTAGCACGGAATTTTTCATTACTTATTCTGTGACGAAACTGAATTTTAGTTATTTAGGTATCTCAATTTAAAAAAGGGGCGGCGAAATTTTCCTTTGCCCTGGGCGGCTGACACCCACGCTACGCCACTGATAATGATTATCTAATTTCATAATGTCCGCGAGGGATTGGATTGGGAGAACTGGGGCTGTATTTTGGTCATTGTCTCTCACAAGCCGGTCGCTGATTGGCTAATCATTTGTTTACTTCGAGAGATCATCGCGTCTCCAAACGCGATTCTGGACAATTTTTTTCTCTCGTTTGTCAGAGATGAGTAGATAGTTTTCTTTCGTCTTTCGCCTCGATTTCGTTATATCAAATATGGACGACTTGGATGCTACTCGGGCTGTACAAACGTATTAGAGAACGTTCTCTATCTCGAAAAAAATATTTCGAGAGAAAATGCTTTGATTTTTTTTCAGTGCCTACTCGGAAACTCCACTGATTCCATTTTTTAATTATCTTCATTAACATCACATTTTCTAAGATTAATTATTTAACTATTTAAGATATTATTAGATGGTAATATTTCGAAAAAATCTAAGTACGTATGCTTTTTTAACTTAGGTTATTAAAATTTTTATTTAAGAGACAAATTGACATTACAATCTGTAAAAAACGTTATAAAACAAAAAAACATAACTTCGTCAAAATTATGTGCTTTCCTTGCCACATGATCTATGATTATGTACTCTGCATTTTCGAAAACTTTACAATGTCATTGGTTAAAATTCTATACCGTGTTGCCCGCGCATATAACCTGAACATATATAATCAACCTAGTAATATCGTGACGTCGTCAAAAGACCTCTCGCCGTAAAAGCTTTTAATCACGTGACCTGTTTGCGTCTGGATTGCGGTGGAGGTCCAGCTAACGAAGTTTTTACGGCGACGGTGATGCCCCAAGTGTTGAAAGTAAATACTTCTTCGCACATGAATTGGTAAAAACGGAAGACGATTGTATATGTGATATATCGATATAAAGACAATGATTATATTCTACGAGTTTTTTTCTGTACTATAATTACAAATGTAGTAAAAATAATATCTTTACTTTCATATATTAACTTTTATTATCGTATTATTAAGATAATATACAGCACTTATAAGCTTAGCTTTTTTATTATATACTCCTCTAAATTGAAAGATTTTCCTTTGACATCCATTATTATAATCGGGTTACCTCTTGTCGTAGATACACGAATACTTTCGGATGTTTTCGATAAATCTTTCCAGGTCTATTCTAGAGCAGCCACGAGTATACAAAAGCTCATTTTCCGCCATTTTAGCACCGTGTCACAATGACCTATATTTCACTGGCTTCTGATTGGTGGAAGGTACCGCTTTACGGTCGTATTCGCGTCGAAAGTTGAACACTGCTCAACTCGCTTTTACGCTGGTTTTATGACCTGCTCAGGGTAAAATCTCGGGGTCACGTGATTAAAAGCTTTTACGGCGAGGGGTTTTACGCCGTTTTTACTATAGTGGAGTCTCGCCATAAGTGACCAGAATATGGCCGTGGTCTAGGTGGATGAGGGCACCAGCATTCATCCACCTTCACTCATCCTCCCCTCCCTCGGCCCCGATTAGAATCGGGGTCTAGGGAGGGAAGGTTCGCGCTTATTCACTTCAGTTTCTTCATCCCCGCTGATAACGTGATTTTCAACAGATGCAACAATAGTTTTCATGGGTGGGTCCGGATATCTCGGTACCCCCTCGCCATTTGGTCGTCTTGCGGGCTTGACTGACCCTGTGATGGTTAAGAAACCCTATACAGTATTCCATAAAATGGGAATAATAATTTTATTTTATGGTGGTAAATTAATTGGATAGTGGATAATTCTAGATGACAGATGTGGTCAATTCAAATGGAAGTTAATTTTTTTTTTCAGTGGAAATCGAAACACAGTTAACGTTGGATTTTTTTTTTCAATTAAACATTCTTTTGGGCGTTAAGACAGCTCACTTATTTTTCTCCTTGATCCTCATGGGTCCATAAAGTTAAGGCTGAGACACAGCATATCCTGTAGATACACACAAATTTGAACAAGCCTAAGGTACTGGGTCGGAAAACCCAGGACTTTCGGAGAGTGGTCTGTCCGGAAATGTCGGATCCCGTCCTTCACATCATCCGGCCGACCCTATTTTGGGCCTGGCCGAACTAAAAAAAACTTGCAGAAGAGTCTTAGTGCCCGCAGGACGGAAAGGATTTTTAAAATTAGTAATGTTCTGTAGCTTTGCCGCTGGGAACTTGTAAATGGAATCGAGATTTATTTTCGGTACTTATTTTGTAAACATCCAGAAAAAAAGCATATAATCTTAATTTTTACGATTGTTCATTACATTAATATTGGTATCAAATTTACTTTCGAATCATACAAAATTCAATTGCCATTTTTAAAAAATAATTCGATAATATCTTGATTCTATGCGGTAGAAAGCCAGCTTTAAAATCAAGTAATCAGGGAATATTGACGTAAGCATCTTCATGACATTTTTAACTAGAATATGATTGGGTAAAATATTGTATGCTGGGATTTGTAGAAAACTAATTTTTTAGACGTGAGATACCGTTAGCATTTGGAATAAGATCAGTGAGCATTTCTATTCTGTAGAATACTGCTTGAAAATACATATTTTCTACATAGGTTCGACTAGATATATAGGCTATATCTCAAACATGTTT